TGTGTATGGAAAAATGAAGGGATTTCCAATATTTATATCGTTGCAATAACTGTCGCTTTACGCCAGTCCGAATTTGCACGTGAAGTGATTGATGTAGATGTCTGTTTACGTTGGACGAATTAAAAATAATTCTGCGAATCAAATTCAATCGATTGCGTTTGTTTATGTCGCGAAATATTGTAACGGATGAACATATGGGAATTAATGCTGTAGATACCTGTATTATATCGTGTGTGACATGAATATTTGCGCGTGATTTTTCGACAGATTCCTTAGTTCTATAAAACATACGGGAACAACGAATTTACTTTACTTTTAATCATAAATCTTATGATTTATTATAGTTTGTGAAGACTACGTTAAAAATTAAAGCAGGCACTATGCATATGGCATACAAAAATTAATTGTAAAGACATTGCAAACAGAAAATTCCAAATACAACGGAAGTACAGTATTCCCTCTTTATAGTCGCATTACTTCAGACTAGTGGCGTGTTTATATAGAGCATTTTTAGATATGATTCTGCAGTCCGGTTCTATCTTGTTGTTATTCTCTCTCGTATGCGTTGAAACTGAAGGAAAAGAAGGTAGAATATAAAATTGACAAAGCGGATGTGTACAGAGGGAGTTTTTTAAATGAATGAAGAGATTTTTCCTGTTCTTTTTGAAGGACAGAATCAAAGAGCTGATTTATATGGTGAATAAATGTATAAATCTAGAAACGTAATCAACGAAGTAAACAAGGCGGCATTGTAAGGAGGAAATACTGTACTTTCAAATAGATCATTCAGCTTCAAAATGATCTAAATTCATTGGCTCAGATTTTCAGTTTATAAAGTTTATTTCAAGAGAACAGATTCAATGATTTATTTAAAAAAGTATCATGGGAAGTAGTGAATTTGACAATGAAGAAATGTGCATTTCATCAAAGTATCGGCGAAAGTTAATAAATGAACTTAACGAATATGATTCCTATAGTATAGTACTAATCGAATAACATAATCAACAGAGGTTGAGGAACACTGAAGAAAACATTGAACAACGTCCAAGTGAGAAACGTTAAACGTATTTATTCATCTGAATGCAATTCTATTTTGGAATACTTGTATTTAAAAAATAGAAACCACTCCACTGATTTGCATTTACATACACTGAGACTTACACAAAAAATCAAAAGTAGAAGCAAAATTATTTATTTAAAAAATTTGTTCATTATTATAAGTAACATCGTATGATTGAAGTATTTTTTTAAATACAATAAAATAGTTGCATTCCTTGTTATAAGTTAATGTTCATTTTTTAAAAATATTTTTACGTTATTCTTGAGATACCTTTTTTTATTAAATGTATAAACGTATATAGTATTCCTAATACGAATACCTATGTATTGCAATCTCACACACGTGATCACCCATGGTTTTATCGGGTGGACGATCAACAAACGTGACTTCGTGGTACGATAAATTCCAAGAGAACTAATTGTAAGTATTAACACGTGAGATTACAATGCCCCGAACAACTTCAGAATCATGCACCTGTAATGTCTACAAAATGTACACGATGCAAATTATAACCACAACGTTCGAATATTGGTATAAAATATCGAGCACATTGAATCGTAAAGTAGACTATTTTCAAACGAACCGTTACAAAACGCGTTCTAAAATTTCCTGGCAGTCTAACTTTTGACACTTGCCGAATTACGTAATTCTCAGAAAAAACAGTTTAAACGACTAATAAGGGTTGCAAATAGGTGTTCTGTGTTTATAAATACTTGCAGTGGCATTTGTGTGAGAAAAAAAATTTCAGGTGTGACGTAACAACGTTGGACCAGATTTTCACGGTTACGTAAAAGTGTACGGTGTCGGAGGATTCAGTGATTCACCGGATCGAACTAAATAGATTAGCACCGCGTCGAATTAAATAGATTGAAACGGATTATTAAATAATTCGATGAGACCTGGAACTTTTTCTATTAAACGGCGAGTAGACCGAATAATTTTGCACAGAATAAAACAAAAACGCTCAACACTGTGTAATTGCCTTTTATCGCCTAGCTGCACAGTCTTACGTGCAGAATTTAATTATATGGCGACCGCAAGACAATTACAGTGCAAGGTGATTTGCATCTTACTAACAGCTCAGTACATTTATGTACAAGAAACTGTTATCAAAATTCACTACCAATATCATTACGGTGTAAATTCTTTTTTTTTTTATCTTTGAACCTCAAAATTAACGTGTCAGCTTTATCAGAATCACTCTTAGTTTCTTAGAAGTCGATAGTTTTACAACTGAAAATCTATGCTTCTGTAGAAAAGTATCAACATTTCCTGGAATTGTAAAATTAACATCGAGTAAGAGATTTTTTTATAAGTCATTGAAACTCTAACGTAGTGATTAATGAGTAGACCGTGGACTTTATTCATCGATTGTGATTGCAAACGCGTGAACCATAATGGACGAAAAATTTCAATAAGGATTAGTCACATTTTTAATTTATTCTTGACTTGGTACGTACCGCAATTGGCAACATAAACCTTTCATGATTAGAGAATTAAAGGATTAAAGAATCATTATTATAAGATCATTATTAGAGAATTATAGACATTATTGAAATTGACATTATAGAATTATATACATTTACCAATATCGAGAATAGAATATCGATATTATCGGTATCAATACTTACAATTAAATTAGAAGTAATGAAATTCAAAAATGAAAATAAATCACTTATTTAAGCAGATATTTATTGAGGCAGATTCTCAGGTAACAATGTAGAAAAGAAATCGATCAATCGTAAACTTCATGGGAAGCTCGCGATCGATCAATTTTCCTTACGTTACGGCAGATACAGCGATTGTATCGAAATTTCGATATGTATGGGTTGAATATCGATACAAAATATCGATATTTGAATTGAAAAGTATCAACATTCGAAATATCGATACTGTGTCACCCATCACTAGTTCGAACACCACTGCTTTATACTCCTGCTTTCGATCATTAACACTATTCTCGGTGTAACACACGATTAAAAATAATTTATATCAGGTTGTGAGATAAGAAATCAATGTTGTACTAAATATCATATTATATTTTACAAAAAGTCGTACTGTCAATTGAAAGTGTAAGTGGGACCGTGTAGAGACCAAGAAGTGCTCGAAGGAATATTGGGAGCAAGGATAACGTTTTGCTCGTAACAATTTTTCATAATTGCCACAGACGTGCTCTAAATTATTTAAAGTCGACAAATTGCAATTCTCAACAACTCGATGATAGCTGACTATGAATATCGTTTATACGCCTCTTGACAGTGGCCTCAGCACACCTTTCGTGTTTCAACCAGCCGGTGCCCAAGCATAACGTTGCATGATCATTACACTGTAACCTTATATGGCCGTAGGTGAAATACAAGATTTACTATAAAAAATGTGTTGCTCTACAAAATTATATCGTGGCGACCACGAGGTTATTCTTACAAGTATAAGCTGCAATGTCCTATTTTTACGAAACATTACGATACACCTTTTAATTTTTTATTTTTTACATCCAAAAGAATCGCACTGTCTATTTCATGTGTATAAAATGAAGAGACTGCAATAATTGAGCAATAATGTGAAGCTACTTAAAGGGAATAAATTAAAATGGTTTTACTTTTATCGGTAGGTTTCCACGTATGACAACATTCGTATATTTTTCTATTTTACGCAGTAGCCGATACTTACTCCGTTTCAGTTTTAAATTTAATTGTAATCGAAATTTCTCTGTGTAGGCGGACAGTGTAAAGAATAGACTATGAACGTGTCCAGTTGCGTTCAGCTATACTTTATTGGACATGTGGCGTATTGCATATATCTCGTGGCCAGAAAATAGGTAGTCGTAATTTTGACGTATCATCCTGTAATGAGTAGAGTTTCCTCTTTCAATGCGTCACAAACTCTTATCGTTGGTATCCCTCCCCGCCCTGTACTCGATGCGGACATTTTTTTTAACGACTGTTTTCCTGTCGACTGCTACTGCCCTCCTCCCAATGGAATGTATGCAAAATTTACAGAAAAGATTAGCTTACAACCGAAAAAGAAATATCATTTTAATATTCAAGTTTTGTACCGTGTCATTATAACTATCAAATTGGAAACTTATGTAATTCAAAGTTATGTGAAGTGAAAATGTTTTGTAGAAAATTGGGGCATGCAAACTGATACACCTGATGTGAACAATGAAAATGTAATGATCCGACAATCGCTTGAAAGTCTTCTCCCCCTTTTGAAGGTTAGACACTCACCTTTATTGCGCATTAGAAAGATCAATTTTTGTTGTAAATATAAGACGTATGATTGCGAAATATCACGAGTGACCTGTGTTTCTATCTTTAAATGTTGTACTTTGTTTAAGCGGGCGTGTAAAAGGAATATTAATAAACGAAGAAATCGTGATGGTGAAAAGGAAGTAATCGAACAAACAAGTTAGTGAAGTATCTTGGTTTGTAACAAAATCTTTCTAAGACAGGTGTAATAAGATTAAAATATGTAAGTTGTAGAACAGGTGTACAAATACGATTTAATTATCACAATAATTTTGAAATAGATGATGTATAAATTTTGTATAAAAAATTTAGTAAGTCATTGTTGCATGTAGTACATTTATAAAAGATAAACTGAGAATTATTTTTGCTGAATAATACAACTCTCATTATATCAATCGTATCATGGCAGACCGGAAATAACTACCCGAAACTTCAGGAAATACGATTAAAACACGTGTGTTTTTACGTAGTAAGACATTTTTAATGTTTGGGTGTGCATCCTTCTAAATTTTATCGAGAAGCAATCTAAATATCTTTATGTAAATAAATGTAGAAGCAATAGTTTTCGAATAGTGACAGTTTCACTCAATTTGAATCAGAGTGGTTCTACTGACAATAAGCCATTTGTGTCGTCACTTCCGTGTCTACGGCGTTGCCAGATTGACCATTATTTCACTCCCAAAAGAAAACTGTGATCAGTATCAATGTGATCTGGTGCTGTGCTAGTGTGTCGTTTCGCGACGGTTAAAATAAATGTGTGTTGTGTTGTGAAGAGAAGAATTATGACAAATTCGATAAAAAATATGGAGCGATTGCCTTGTGCATTCGTGAAATAACACGTATACCATTACGCTAGGCGAAGACCAGGCTACCAACCAATCTTTACACGTAAAACCCACCGAGCTTGCTCGATACAGTAGGTAAACCACAATTTCGGGAATAATAATAAAGTACATTACGTATAAAATTAAGTTTGGCTGGCAAACGAGTGCTAGCAAACGAAACACGTGACTTTTCTAATTTAATTCAGTATTTTTTTCTCATTTACGATATCCGACATTTTTCTCGAATGGTGTTTTTAAACTGTTTTTAGTTCCTTGAAATGTCGTTTTCCTTATGCAGTTCACAAAATGTATGATCGTAGTATCTATTGAGAAAAAGCTTTAGTCGGTTCTGTGTTATTCATGCAACAAATTCAGCATAATTATAACTGTAGTATTAAATATAAATTGGTGTCTATCTGCTAATAATTATTTGTTGGCATGTGATCAACACTGGTTCAGTGTTGAATCTGGTATTCAACTATTTGGAATTCATACAACCTTGATTACTAGAAAAATCGTTGAGTATTTTGTTGACTGTTTCATACATAGATATTTTTAACTATTAACAGTTTTTATGCTACATCATATGGTACTTATGTATTGTTATATTAATTCAATGAAGTGTTTTATTTTTGTAAATTTTGCTCATAGAATTAAGAATATTCAGCATTTTTTCAGTTAAGGAAGTCAATTTCTCTGATGTTTTATAATCGTGTTGTCTGATTATCAGCAATAAATTTCTTTTTAAGGTAGTCCCTAATATTTGTTTAGTTCTGTAGTATATGCATGTTGATTATTGTGCACATTTTACCATACTATAATTTTGAATGTTTTAGTTATATTAAATATAATCATGTATATACATAAACAAACACTTATAATTTAATCTCCCAAACGACCATATAAACTGTTTTTAAAATCTGTTCGTAAATCATGTAATATCACATTTATTTTTATAACTTTAACAATCTTCATAATACATCTAAAAAGAAAGTTTAAAAAAGTATGTAGTAAGTCTGTAGTAAGAAGTATTGAAAGACTTTTTTTTTTTAATTAACTCATGTAAACATTGTCTCAATAATAATCACCCAAAAAACTTGACATTGCCATCAGCAAATATCTAGCATACCTTACAACAAGTCCCTTATTACAGAAAGTTAACTGGTGTGAATTGAACATACCTTGAAACACAGAAAATTGAAAGAGAAAAACAGTGAATAACAGAAAACAATAGTAATATGCAGCGGATGTGTATTATAGAGAACAAAGAGGAGGAGCAATTCAAGCAGCACGAGGTGCCACGCAAGGTTAACTTCACAGAGGTGGCGACCAAACAAGCATTAGAAATGAGGGGAACAAAAAGGGACTGGATTTTTAGAGTTCAGGTAACTATTAGTAATTATTGTTATTTGATTCTACATTTCTCATATGTTAAGTCAATGATTTTTCTGTTAATAATTTTACATTTTCTTTTATACATTATATATTATATCATTCACTCAGGTTCATAAGCTAGAGAAAAATGAAGTTCTATACGTGGTTGGTAATATACCTGAACTGGGTGCATGGAATCATAATCAGGCGGTTCAGATGTCTCAAGAACCAGGCAGTCGGGATTCACCTATGTTCTTTGATAATAATAGTGGAGAATTCTATAGCGACGATGTACATGATAATGCAGGAGAAATGTTTCGTGACGAAGATAATGAGTAAGTAAAAATTGTTAACTCATGTGTGATCACCTTTTTCAAATGAATGAAACTGTATTCTTATCTCATGTGAAGCATGTGTTAATTTTCCGATGGTGTACAATTGTATTTATATCAACATTTATGCATTTCAGAGATGGACAAATATTTTCACAAAAGGTTGCACTTCCCATTGATGTTGATATAAATTTTCGATATATCGTTGCTGTTATATGTGACTCCAATGGTACTAAAAATTCGGCCAAGACTCTTGTTATTCGCAGATGGGAAACGCATATGATACCACGTATTATCAAGAAAAACAGTATGTACTTGAATACAATAAACTCAGTTGCACAACTGCCTTTTTGGATTAAATAACATAGTTAAGTAAAACAATTGTTACAGTGCCTAGCAATATTACTCAGGACTCATTGCCAGATCCAGACACATTTGGCTATTATAATGGCTACTGCAAAATTGAACGGGGTTGGCTAACGGACGAAACTGTGATACAATTTAAGCTATTTAATAATCCAATTAAATTATGGAAAAACCGGTTACAAAATAGGAAGGTTCATATTAAAGTATGTATTCTTAAGTCGTGCTATTTATTTGTAAATAATGTTAAAATTTTAAATTGAGGAAATACATTTGTGTTTTAGATGACACCTGTAAATTTAGATAGGCACAATTCCTTAGAGTTACAACAATTCGGAGGAGATTGTGTAGATGATAGTCTTTCTATGGATACACAAGATATTATTGATCAACCTGCCTTTAGTATTACCGAAATTGCAGTATGTATAGCGTTAATCTGATCTGTGGAATATAATTCATGTAGCAGCTACATAGATTTCAATATAACTTTTAGGTAATGAGTGATGAAGAGGCTCGCTTCAAGATTCAGGAGCAATTCGGCCGAGCTTATCACGAAGACGACTTTATTATCTTCAATGTTGCTGTTCGATACCCTGAAATTGTCGTAAGTAATCATATCCAAAGTTCCATCGAACTGTCATAATAAATACACGACTCGATGAATAACCATTGGTTGGTATTTATTGCTTGCATTGCTTGTAAGTTTTGTAACATGCATTATGTGCGTAGGATCGATCTTCAATTTTTATTCGAAAAGGAACCTTTTCTGTTTTTTGTACGAGCAATTCTACAAATGGAAACATCAAAGGCATTGTCTTCAGTAATGTATCGGTTATCGCTACCGAAATAATACATAAAACATGTTGTCTTCCTTTGAGTTGTTACATTGGCACTGATGACAAAAGTACATCTTTGTTTAATACATATATGAACAGAATGAATGAAAGAATATTTATTATACAAATGTAGGCTTGGTGGAGCAATAAATTGCAGACTAGTGGTAATTCACGAGAGAATTAGACACACTAAAGGTACGCCATTGACCATACCATGTGAGTTTTCAGTAGACCACGAGTAGGCCGGCCACGTCTTCTCACGCGATTTGTTCAAATTACTTGATAAAAGTTAATTAAACTTGTTCAGCAGCTATTGCCCTCCTTGGAAACCAGAAGCGATGTCACGCGCACTGGCCTGGATTGAAGACAACCGTCAGCTTTGTACAAAGCAAGACCTCTGATGCAAATGACGATGCTAACATGCAATCTGATGTATCGATGCTAAAGCATCGTCTACCACTTTACATCTGTGTCACATGACATCACACAGAGATATGATGGTTTTGATTGTCGTTCGCCCTACCGCACCTATCCTTGGGCTAGTCTCTCGTAAATCCACAAATTTTTCTAAACTACATTTATCATATTTTCGACAATTGGAACTTCCTAGATTCGACTGAACATAGTTATTACGTAGACTACGCAATCTGTTTCTATCCTGTACACGTGTCGGTTTACGCGAGTCGCAGCCATCCTAAGCAACCCAAAGAGTTTAGAGATATCAACGCTGTCACACCTCATATCCATCTGTGTGCGTCGAAAATGGTGAGGCTCCCATCACTCCTATATCCTTTTAGTGTACTACTAATATTTTCTAGCTCTGACCAACTCTACTGTACCGTACGTGGCACCGCTGCGCGCCCAATGCCAGACTAAGCTGTCAGAATCTTCTGAATCCGAATTCACAAACTTTACAGACTTGATATCGAAATTTAATAATGAATGATCGGCAGGTGTTGCGGGATACGCGTCACCAGGCAGAGTACAGCATTTGGCAATTATTGGTCTGGTTCATTGCTAGATTATGTAGGAAATAAATTATCGTTCTTTTGTTCTGTCGTTCACTAGTAATTTGTTGCTCTTGCCGGTAAACATTTGAAGAAATATTTGAAAGACAATATTTAATGGACACAAAGAAACAAAAGATGTACGAATGTCTTAAAAGATATAGTTTAATTCCTACGACTTTTAGTGAATCAAGGATCGTTAACAATGTGCCATAAATTGTCCACGTTTATTAGAATTTGTTTAGAAATTTAGAAAATGATCCTTCAGAACTGAATGTCCTTTATCATTGGTCTTAATTAATTAATGTTGAAGCAAGCTCTATAACGGATGAGCAGAGAAATAGCGATGCAAGCATTTGGTGTTGTCATAAATTTAAGTACTTTTCCATGTATATTGAATAGACTGTTTTTTCAGGCATACTTAGTGGACTACTACGTGTACAGCTCAAGGTGTTTTCCAGGAGAACCACCAAGTCATATCGGTTTCAGTTACATCTTACCTAGTACACTGCAGTCTAGTGTTGGGCTCTTAACAGTACCGATTACAAGTACAAAACATAGACCGATTGGTAGGGCATTAATATAAATTTCTATTTGTTATATCTCTTTACCATTACGAAACTGATTAAATTGTGATTTCCTTCTCATTTTAGGACAACTTACAGTGGAATATGTTGTGATAAAATCAATTCCGGATTATCCATGGGATACGAGCATTTCGTACGCAAAACATTGGGAACAACGGTGGTCTGGTTTGGATGTGGGACACAGAGGACTGGGTACATCTTTTCAAACGAAAAAGTAACTTATGAAAGCACAAACTGTAAAAAAACTTACGATTTCTGCAGAGTTATTAGATATTGAAAATCATATTGCTTTATATTTCACAGTTGTGCTAATGTACGTGAAAACACAGTAGCTTCTCTAAAGACTGCGTCGCATCATGGTGCTGACATGGTTGAATTTGATGTCCAATTATCCAAAGATCACATACCTGTTATTTACCATGATTTCTATGTATCCATTTCGCTAAAACGTAAGAAACAAATAGAAGCTATGGATATGCTGGAAATACCTGTCAAGGATCTCACCTTAGAGCAGCTACACTTACTGAAGGTACATAGTATTCCATTCGTTTAATGCTTCTTCTAAAGTAAACAATATGGAAATAAATTATTTTCACAGGTCATACATAAATCATCATGTTCATATTTATTTACAGACTTCGAATTTTTGGAACAAAGTTTATCAACTTTATTTTCTTATTTTATTATAAAATATCTATAATTTTCAAACGCGAAAAATATCTCTGAATCTAACAAGTTCCTTCATTTGACACTGTTGCGAATTACCTCTGTAGAAATGGCATAAGACAAAGAGGGTATATCAAGAATAACATATGAAGTTTCAGAAAAACATTGCACAATCACTTGCATTAGGGAATGTAAATGGAAATCACTAAACCTTCTTTCCAAGTACATAATCGTTCACTGACTCAATTAATACGATGCATTCAGTAACAATCTTTCTCAACTAACCATAATTGAGAATGCGGCTTTTCAATAATGCTACGCGTATTAATACTTCGCTTTTTATGTCCTTTTTTTGTATTGATGGAAAGATCAATCATCGCAGGGGGTTGTGTCGTATATAGATACACATGACATAAAATCATGAACTTAAAGGTATAGCTTACCTATTCGTATTTGTCTCTTTTTTGATATTCAACAGGATTTTTATTACCCGGGAGACTCGTTGGGTAAGGTGCTGTATTTCGTTGATAAAGCTGAACAGGGGCTTAGCCAATTGGTGAGCTTTCATACCGCTTGCGCCACCTAACTTGTCACCAAAATTTATAACCGATTAGTCGTTTAAACATCTTGATGCATGCTCGTGTAAAATGTATTCTAAAACTGAATTTGTTTTTCAAGATCATACCATAGTGCTGTAATATGTTACTTCTAAAAATCACATAATAGTGCTACAACATGTACATTATGCTTTGATTCCAAAACTAAACAGCTTAACTCTGGTATTATAAGTAATCAAGGTAATTCGATTGATAATCATGTCTCATTAGGTATAATGTCAATTGACCTTTTCAAAAATGCTTTAATGGTCCAGAGGATCAGTTTCTGTTATCAGTTCTACCAGTTTCACATATCTGCTTCCGCGCAGAAGATAAAGTGCGGAATGTATTTCATCGAAACATGTATAAATCACATTATCACGGCATGTAAATAATATCATGATGGACGTGATATTACTTTTAATAAGCTCAAATGACTTTCAGAGTATTTGCTTTGTCTGGCTTTGAAAAATATATTACGTCACACGTCGTTATGAGCAGTGCCAATTTTATAATCTGACAATATTAAACTGAATCATTCCGTCATTGTATAAAACTTTGCTACATACAAATGTTCTTGTAGAACTAGACCAACACGTCGGGTTTAATATCGAAATTAAATGGACTATGCAGTTGAAGGTAAAAAGTAATGAATATGTTCCTCTCTTTTCTGCTGTCATTTAAATATTAAATGCATAATGTATATACGCAGGATGGCACGTTCGAGCTTAACCATCCTTTCGATCTCAATCTGTATTTGGACACAATACTCAAAGTCGTGCTAGAATATGGAAGGAATAGAAAAATTGTTTTCTCGTCCTTTAACCCAGACATTTGTGCCATGATTCGTCTTAAACAAAACAAATACCCGGTAGTATTTTTAACACAAGGCGTCACTTCGAAATATCCAACTTACCATGATCCGAGGTGTCAGACAATACCTATGGCTGTTAGACATGCATTGGCCGCTGACATCTTAGGAATTAACGTCCACACAGAAGATATTCTTAGGGATCCATCGCAAGTTAAGTTTGTAAAGGATTCTGGATTAATCATTTTTTGCTGGGGAGATGATAATAATGATAAGGCTACTATTCAACATTTAAAGAAACTTGGATTACACGCAGTTATTTATGACAAGTATGTACTTTGTACATATAAAATGTTTATTTGCAGTGTAAACAATTACTATGATATTTATAATTTCCTAACTATTTATAGAATTGATGAATATAATGCGAAGGAAGTGAAAGAGAGCATATTTCTGGTCGATGCTAGAGAAAATCAGAAGGCACTAATTGCTTTAGCACAATGCAATCAAACATGTTCTTCGCAACCTCAGATTACTAGTTCACTGGACACAGAAAAGGTGGTGAAGCATAATACTTGATGTCTTAGTGTAATTAATATATTTCTTTAGCAATTCTATAAACCGAAATGCCGAATAATTTTTTGTTGTAGGATTACTATATGGACGTCGATAAATCGCAAAACATGATTACAACCACGCCGACTACAACTTCGCTTGCATCTTTTGGTAAGAATAGTATTGGTGGTGATAGTATGTATCCCATATCAACTGTTAAATTACCAAGTACATGTGATCATCAGGAGAGCAAAGAGATCAGTGAAATGGCAAAAGATTTTAGCGTTTGCGCAAAATCCCTCGGCCATTCGTTAAAAACTAAAAGTACCTCAGGCATAGTTTATGGACAAACGACAGCATTACCAGAGATCTACGGAGAGGATGAATCTGCAAAGGACTGTCTTTGATGTTTCTCCTTTAAGAAGCCGTTCCTATCTTGGTTTTGACACAGAAGACATTCTCTAGGAAAAGACCTATCACAAAGGAAAGGAGAAAATTGCAAAAACTTGTAATTCACAATTTACTATAATATTTTACATAAAAGGGGTCAAATAATTAGAGGTTTCCCCTGCAGTTTAAGAATCCAAAAATAAAATGTTGATTCAACGGCCATTACTTGAAATGTACATCGTGCATCAATGCACAAAAAGCTGACCGATTGCTTTTTTCACATAGTTTTATCATTCCCGCGATTAGTCGACTTAATTGTTCATTTGAGATTATATTTTACTTGAAACGCTACAGAATGGCCTTTTTTAAAGAAAAAAAACGCTGATCAAGTCCGATTTTGGTTATAAGAAAAAAATTTTAACTCCTGTTACTCTGCCTGTGATAGGTAAATACTGGGGTTGTAAGTTTCTAGTACAAATACCCTCAATATTTTCATTTAGTTCATAAAACAATGTCACCCCCTCGTGTTACCTCTTTTATTAATTGAAAATTAATTTAAGAAACAAATTAACAGTTAAGCGACATTAAAAATATATATATGACGTCATGAGTATAAACTTTTTTGTATAAATTATCGAGAAAACTAAGAGAAAACATGGTTTCCAACAGCTTCAACCATTAACAAAGCTGCAGGGTAACTATTTTTTGTAGATGTAGAATATTTCACATTCATTTATTTATGTTTCAAACTATTTTTAATATAATCTAGAATTTAAAAGATGCAAAAAATAGAAAGGAACTTTTTCAACAAATGAAAGATCTTTGTTAGAAGTATCTTTATCTGCGAATGTAAAATCAATGTAATCACAGAAAAGAAACAAAAAAAGATTGCGCGTTTTCATCCATGTTTAACAATATGGTGTTATTATGAATAATATTTTTTATTTGCATACAATAGATATTTCTTTTAGAAAATTCATCAGTCTTCGGTAATGTAAACAAAACCCGAAAACTGAAAATCGTGTACATTCGCTTTATAGGTTAAAATATTTTTGTCTTGGACTTGTAATAACTGCATCAGTGAAAAAACAAGTAATATGCGAGTATCTTTTCAAAGTTTTTAACAGAGAAGATAATTTATACCGCTATACCGCATTGGTAGTACGCTATACGATTAAAGAAGAGACGATTGTATCAATCGTTATGATTCTGGCAATATACAGAATACCTATCTCTTGATGGTTTAGAGAAGAATATCACAAATGTGTATGGGATCACATATGATGTAAAACTTCATACGTTAATGTGCGTAAAGCGGGATGGTTGCTGATTATATTTCTCTTGTCATAGAGGCTATGCATTGTAATAAACCAATTGACGGATATGAATCGGTTCGATAAGTTTATAGTTATTACATTGGTAGAATTTTGCAAATTCCAACACATAGGTTAATGCGTGACAGTCTTCAAATGTATACTGATAAACATCATATATATTTCAGATATAATAACGTGTCTCTTTTTATCTTTCCCTGGTAATAATGATAGATTGAATGTGTAACGAGGACTTATAAATGCGATAATGAATTTACAGTTTTGTAAAAATTTTACAAATGTTCACGCACATGCAAAAACATACATAAGAAATAATATTTTTGCATTTGAGGCTTCTAACTTAATTACTGAGAGTACCTGAAAGTAGTTATTGGGTCGTTTATTTATCATTACGTCAAGGATTCGCCGAAGGTCGAATCATTAAATGAATTACGAATACATTTTACGCAATAAATAAAGGAATCAGAACCCTAAATGTCTATTTTATTTATAATATATTAATTTTATGGGAATTTTGTATTACGAAATATATACGAAATCCTATTGAAACACACCGCATAATTTACATTTTGAGAATTGTTCATTTACTGTTTATACCTCGGTTTCCTAATTTTGTAACAATTAAAAAGTAAAGCGACCATAATGTGACACAGCGAGTAGTATAGAGAGAATAGTTTTGTAAAAAAAAAAGTCCGTAATCAAACTTCGTAATGACCTCATCACTATATGAATCTTAAAAAAAAAACCTTCATCCTATTTCAATAATTGCAAAAAATTCTTGAGAAACTATAAAAGATCAATACGTTTAACACATCTATATATATGTGTATGCCATATATATCCTAATTTTCCTATAATTTTCGAATGTAACTCAATCAATTTTCCCCGAATTGGAGAAACTTAAACTTTTATTACATTGTAAAAATACTGTTATAAATACTAATACAGAAAGAAAACAATAGATTAAAGCGTGGACAGATTTGAGTATAATATTCAGATACGGTCTATTTATTATGTGTTTAAATCTTTAGGAATAAATTCTGTCTTTTCGACGGTGCAAGTGAAACAACAGTTCCAAGTATGTATTATAGAATATGATTTATATAAATCATAATTTCTGCCGAATTTTAATGAAACTGAATTGGAAATAGAGTAGCCTATTTCTCATTTGCTGGATGAAAGGCACATTTTATCCAGCTCTATTTGTACGACGTTTTCTCAGTCGAAGTGTCCCTGGAAACTTTCGAATATCGAGACCGCGTTCGAAACGAGGGGAATTTAATGGCGGTCGAAGAGCCCCCACCCTGACCTCGTATGCAGAGAGACAGTCAAGGTGTCAACAGGCGAGGCCGGACAGAATTTACGTGATTATTTTCATCTGTTCGTGTTTGCACATTTACTTCACCGCTTATCGTATCGTACTAGAGTATTTGAACTCTGGTATCGACGACACATATCCTGGAATTAACTGGCGTTTAGAGAATGGGACTATCCAGAGCATAGCACGGTGCAGATTTTCCTGACATGTATGTGTGTATATGTACATAATGTTTTGATTCAATCGCAGCTGAGGTTCTCTCACATCTATTTCGATAAAGAACGTTCCACGGTTTTGTTTCGCCAATAGAAGTGTAGTCAGCCGTTGAATCTTTCGTTGATAAACATTACAGGTTTCGCAGTTTAATACTCGTGTGCCGATGTGTATTATATTATACTTTTTACCCATTAAGTGAATAAATTCTGGACACAGTATGCTCGACATTACCTTATTATTGTACAATGTGACTATGACAGCGTGCATTTCGACAATTGCAGCAGTGTTTTAAAGTTGTTTTTGTGGTATGGGATTAATAAATATTTTTACAAGCAATCGCCATATATAAATTTTAATGTGCACTAATTGTGGGTGTCACAGCATATCTTGTACGAATTATTTTTCAATTCTATTTGTGATTTTTTTGCAACTAATAATATTCAACTGTTTTATTTGTATTAACTGTGCTGTTTCATGTGAAAGGCAATGTTGGGTTTATTGAAATTTGTGTGCTTTTTGTTTTTCATTAGAAGTTTAAAATATTTTATTCAATATATGTGTACATTTCAGTAGTTTACTTGTTTTCTTATAAAATGTTCATCAAATTTTCTAACAGTCCTTTTATTTTGTTTACATAACTTGTTTTTTGTGATAAAAACAGTGATTTCTTAAATATTGTATCATCATAAAATGATTGAATTAATAGAAAAATTTTCTTTTAGATATGATTTTTTGTACGAGTTCCATACAACAGAATTGCTCAAAAACCAATCCAATGAATGTGGATGATGAGCTTTACTTTATCCAGCAGCATTGAGGCGAATATATTGTAATGGGGTGGGTCTCATCCACCACAGTATGGATTACAATATGGAGTTGCTTATTGCGGGGCTTGGAACTAGCTCCGCAAACATCTCCAAAACAAATTCCATGTGATAAAACAAGGAAAGTTTTTACTGATTCTTGGGGAATCATCAGTGATGGACCTTTAGGCTCAAATTATACTCAAGACTCTCATTGTGAATGGCTCATAAAAGGTACAGATTTTTCTGATAAATCATAAGTATTTTATAATCATTTTGCTTGTGATTATTCAGTATGTTTATACTATTTTGCAGCAAACAACAGCCGTCAATTTATCACCTTAAGTTTTCGTACCATGGGAACAGAATGCAGCTATGATTATGTTTTTGTTTATGATGGAGATTCCTTTCGATCTCCTCTTCTAGGTAGTTTCAGTGGAAAAACAGAGCCACAGCAAGTGACATCATCGTCCGGTTATGTAAGTGAATATGAACTCATTCAATAGTGAACTATAACTATGGTTATTAAGAAAAAAAACAGAAGTACCATTATATTCATACTTAATCCTAACTGTGTAATCAGTAAGAAATACTATAACACATTTATTCTCCTTCTACAGATGCTAATATTATTGTACAGTGATACAAATTATGTTTTGGATGGTTTCCATGCAGAATTCTCAGTTACAAATTGCCCGAATAATTGTACAAATCATGGAAAGTGCATTAACAATAAATGTGTTTGTGAAAATGATTGGGGTGGGAAAGATTGCTCTAGAGCACTCTGCCCAAACAACTGCAGTTATACTGGAGAGTGTGGCATAAAGCGGTGTCAATGTCATAACGGATATTCAGGACAGTCTTGCTCATTACATAATACACATCCTGAAGGCAACAAGTATGTTACTAAACTTTCTATTCTATTAAGTTTGTTAAATAGTCTTTTCTTAATATTATGTATATTATACAGGTGGCACTGGCTTTCACATTCAGAAGGTGGATTAAGGCCAAGAGCAGCACATACAGCAGTGTATGTAAAGGAAGCAGATTCTCTTTATGTTTTTGGTGGTTATGATCTCAATGATATACTCAGTGATTTGGAAGTATATCGATTTAGTACAAGTCAGTGGGAAGATGCATATGGTAATGTATTAGGTAAGGATTAAACTTCTTCATTATAATTATACGAACTAGGATGTGTTATATTACATCATTAATGTGCCATATTCTTTCAACACAGAACGTACTTCATCCGCAGAATATTTAGATCCTATGCTCATTGGCACTGAATTAGAAAGGATAGGTGCAGGTGCAAAAGAATTGTACGGTGTTCGCGAAACATCCCTCATGTGGAGGGTTCTCTACAGTATTAAAAACAATAATACTTTTAGTTTACGTAACCATGGAAATTTAGAAAATGAACATGATTGGTCGGAATTCAGGAATACAGCAGACCACAAAGGACATGAAAGAAAGATTCAAGAGTCCAGAGAAGGTGAAACGAGTAAAAGTACAATTAGAATAGAAAGAAACGATGATCTTCGACGGAAACACTCCAGGCATCCAAAACCCCGATATGCACAAACTACGAGGTAGAATACAAGAGAGTGTACTTGATGTTTATTCATCATCAATTTAATATTAATTATTATTTCCTTATTTATTTTTTAATATATTAGACATCGTAGAAATCTTGAAGATTTAGACCTTTACCGTGAACTTCATGCTTCAAATATAAAAAGTGACATATTAAATTGGGAAGAGCAAAACGTTGATGACCCTATTGAAGAGAATATTTTTATTCAAGAGCCTAAATCAGTAACAGATGAAGCATTCAACGATGAAACTACTAAGTCACCCATTGATGAGTTGCCTAAACCAAGTCCACGTTATGGTCACGCTGCTTGCAGATACGACGGTCAGTTGTCCACAAATATACCTGCAAAAGAGGAAGGAATTTAATACAATTTACGATTTTCTTAATTTTAGATGGTTTTGTTATATATGGTGGAAAAGTGCAAGATGGTTCTCTGTCAAACGAACTGTGGCATTATAATGTCAATACGCGTATTTGGACATTACGAGCTAAAAACTCTCCGTTCTACCCACCACAGTTAACAAGACATACTCTTACATTGGCAAACGATTATATATATCTTTTCGGTGGTAGTACAGTCGATGGTGAATTTTCATCAAGTCTGTATAAAATCAAGTTGAATTTGTGTAAGTTTGTGTTTAGCTATTATTTCATATGTACGAATTATTGTCTTAGAAAAGTTGTACATATATTTATGTTGACTCTAGCTGATCCCACCGCAACCACAGAAAGGTGGACAGAAGTACATCCTCGTGGAGGTAAAGAACTAGACGTACGCGTAGTTGCACACTCGACTGTATATCATCGTGCTACTAACTCTTTATTAGTTTATGGAGGCGTAGTAGCTAGCGTAGCACGTTTTAGTAAACTATCGGATAGAATGTTTGTATTTCAACTTGATAGAAAAGTTTGGTCTGAAATTCACTATCCAAGAGCACATTTGAGAGACACTTATGTTCCGAGAGAACGGGCATTTCATACTTGCAACATTATAGGTAATTGCATTGACATAATTCGGCTAGAATACAATTATATATTAATGCTAATGTAATTGTATTTATTCTGTAGGGAATTATTTAGTTGTATTTGGTGGATATTCTCATAGACACAATAAAGAGGAGATTTGTTATGATAATCAGATGTATCTTTATCACTTAGGCTGTCATGCCTGGGTAAGTCATGACGTACTCGGTTTAAATGATAAAGGTAAGCTAAAGCTTCAAACATGTTTAGACATCAGTCAGAAAAAAGACGTCAGGTATTTTCATTTTAAATGTTTATTCTGGTGTTATCTGTAGATTCTCGTTATCCAAAACAACAAGGTGTATTTGCACACGCGGCAGATGTACGCAATGGAAACACCTTGTTATTAGTCGGTGGTTATCATGGAAATGTAAATGCAGACTTACTCGCGTACACATTACCACAGATGCTAGCACCGGGAGATGAAGATTACATAGAACCAGAACAGATATGTTCAAGGCATAAAAGTTTAATGGAATGTGCAGCCAACCCTGAATGTGGTTGGTGTTCAGCGGACGAGGTACTTCCTAACACAGATAGCTTAACTATTGCTTATTTGAAAAAAAAAAAAAAAATGTATTGCTTGATATCAAATGTTTTTTCCATTATCTCAGATATGTTATGGCAGAACCATCGGTAGCAATTGTACGACTAATCTTCAAACAACTCGTTGCCCAGGCGTTTGTCCTGCGCTTGGGGATTGTCATTCTTGTTTAATACATGGTCAACCTGGCGGGGGATGGGGTACGACTGCTCGTGGAAAGAAATCAGTTTCGAACAAGTTGAATCTCGGAACTTGTACTTGGTGCGTCCAGAATGCACGATGTCACCATAAAGATGATAATTATGGAGTTTGTGGTCTTCGAGACGATACACCGTCTCAGATACCTGGATGGTGGGGTCCTAAGGGCACGGAAATTATAAAAGTGGAGGAATGTCGGGAAATGGATAAAAGGCCAGGATTAACATTTTTAAAGTATAAACCTCCAGTAAATTTTAGCCAACCCGACTCCGTGACAATAGTAAATGCTACGACAGTCGACTTCAATGTTCCATCTATGCAAGGTGCAAAAACTGAATCCGCCCTTGGTGGAGAAATGATAGCCAGGTTAATTGGATTCCTTAGACCACCGCAGGCTTTTTGGGACAGCGCAGTAGAATATTTAAAGATCTGCGTTAGTTACAACAGTGCAACTTTACATGTATCACGGACTGATCATCCTCAAGAATTGGTAAATTGTTTTTCCATTTTTTAACTGACAGTTTAAATCGCTCCTTTACTATTATGCATCCAACATATAATTGCTTTTATTGTACCTTTTTTATCGCCGATTAAAAATATATTACTCATTTCTTTTTAATAAAACTTTCAGGAATTAGTCGCAAATTTAACTGCCGAGACATCGCAATGCATACCAACGAAATGGCCAGATGGGCATTCAATGATGCTGCTACCAGGTCGATATCTGTTAGATTTCGAATCGAAAAGAATGGTGACTACAAGTTATGCGTACGCAAGTAAAATGGAGATCACTCATAACAAAAAAACCGAGAACCCGAAAGTTTTCACGTTCGAATATCTTGAACCATATCAAAACGGATCCTGCCATCAGTATAAAAACTGTCTTCACTGCTTAACTGATTCGTCCTGTGGCTGGTGTGATATTATTAATAAATGCCTTTCACGTTCAATCAACGAGACTGAAAGTTGCGTGGCTGACGTGGATTGGGACGAGGATGGAAATCCGATTCGTGAATGGCATTACTTGACCATCACTCCATCGGCCTGTGCCAATTGTTCGAATTACATCTCATGCGAATCCTGTGTTGGTAGCAACCTATGCGAATGGTGGACCGAGGAGGCTCGGTGTGCACGAATCGGTAGACTGCCTAATGCTGTCGTTAGTCTCGATCAGTGTCCAATTCCATGCAGACAGCGTTCAAACTGCACACAATGTTTAGACGAGCGTGGAAGATGTGTGTGGTGTGAAGCTACACAAGAATGCTTCTCCTTTTCAGTATATACATCCGAATATCAGTTTGGTTTATGTCGAGAATGGATGGATCAAGCTGGGCTTATGGGAGTAACTTCAAGGTCGGGATCATCCTTAACGGGTAACGACCAATGCAAAAGCTGCAGTCGGCACACAAACTGCTCTAGCTGTCTACACTCGCTAAGCTGTGGTTGGTGTTACAGTTTTGAGAATCCCATTATGGGAGCATGCGTGCAAGGAGATTTCAATCAGCCGCATGTTAATTGTAGCTTCGTCATTAACGAGTATCAAAACGTCACCTTAGAGGCTGATGAATCAGGATGGGCGTACGCTCAGTGTCCAGATGTCGACGAATGTGATTTAGGTTTGCACGATTGTCATCCCAATGCATTGTGTACCAACACACACGGTAGTTTCAGCTGCCAGTGTAAACGAGGCTTCAACGGGGATGGGAAAGAAAATTGTACAAAAACGTGCTACGAGAAATGTGTGAATGGTTATTGCAGCGAAGCGCCGGATTACAAATGCGAATGTTATCTTGGTTGGACAGGACCGGATTGTCGAACGAATTGCGGTTGTTACAACCATTCTACTTGTGTACAAGGGCCAGGTATTTGCGACGAATGTCAGGACTGGACCACTGGGACGTATTGCGAGGAATGTAAGGCGGGCAGTTACGGGAATGCCACGACACCACTTGGGTGCAAAAAGTGTAATTGCAATGAACATGGAGATAAGGACCTAGGGATTTGCGATCGACAAACTGGCGTATGCTTTTGCCGCGATAACACGCAAGGCGATATGTGTCAACGTTGCAAGAAAGGATATTACGGTGATCCAAGAGACGGTGGAATGTGTTATTACGGTTGTATATCACGAGGCATGCTAGGCGGTGAAGGAACTGGTAAACAGGGCCTTGGTAGTAGGCACTCGCAGTTATCTTTATGGGAAAGTCATTTCGGAGAATCACCGACAAGAGAATGCCTCTGGATAGTCAGCCCAAAAACAGATCTTTCGTCGGATGCAATGCTCTCGGGAGCACAGAGCGTTATACAATTTACTATACACGATGATATTAATGTTAGCTGTCAAGAGAATAGCGTGTACGTATACGATGGACTTCCGGAATTTGTTTCTTCAACTACTAGTCATCAAAGTCAACTGTTAGGTGTTTATTGCACGGAAAGTACAGATTATCCAGTAACAGTAGAAGCTAAGTCTGGATTCCTTACTGTTCACTATAAACAACTGGATGAAGTAGAAGGCTTCAATGCCAGTTACATAATAATGACATGTAAAAATTGTCCTGGCAATCGGGAATGCCGCAACGGAAATTGTTTATGTAAAACTGGTTTCGTAGGGATCAATTGTGATATCGAATTGTGCCCTAATAACTGTACGTCGTCTAAAAAACAAGGAGTTTGCGACAAGGGTTACGGTCGGTGTGTTTGTACAGCAGGATATGGAGGACGTGATTGTTCGATTGAAATCAAAGACCACCAATTGATCTTCACCGAACTATTTAACTCTGAATATTTGGCGGATCATTTAGATCATCTACGAAAAACATTACCCAGATTCGGTCACACATTGGTTGCAGACAGACGGGGTAGCTTGTGGATGTTTGGAGGATATTCTCTCAGCCACGGTCCTTTGAATGACATTAGACTTTTTGATACTAAAAATAACACCTGGATGCCTATTACCGTAGAATCTACCTCTGAAGCTTCCATGCCTCAGGGTAGATATTTTCATGCAACAGAGATAGTTCACAGTAGGCAACAGATATACGTTTATGGTGGTTTGTCTATGAAAGAAGAAGATGTTCAGGGACTGTCCAACAATACGTTGAGTGATTTCTGGAAATTTAGTCTGCAGAACCAGAGATGGATGCAAATTATGCAGGATGAGTCGAGAAGAGAACCTCCACCATTAACTGGACATACGTTGACTTTGCACAGAAATGGAGAATCAGAGAGTCTGATATTGATCGGAGGATTTAGTCCAAAATATGGCTACCTGGATACAGTATGGGAATTCAATTTGGAAACAGAAGCCTGGGATACAATAAACACCGTTGGAAACGGACCGTTAGGAGTTTATGGCCACTCGACAGTGTACCACGGCAAGTCGGATAGCTTTTATATCTTCGGTGGATACACATATGCAATAAATCGAACATTCATTTCCAACAAATTATACGCTTTGAATTATAAAACTCGTACATGGTCTGTACTTCCACCATTCGACGATGATTTCACTGATGGAACTAATTTTGTAAGAAAACGCTTATTTATCTATTATCATATCAGAGAAACAAACTGATAGTAATAACGATGTCTTCTTGTTACAGCCTCAGGCAAGATTTCTTCATTCCGCAGTTACCACTGATGAGTACATGGTTATATTTGGTGGCCGTCAAAATCCTCATAATACTTCTGATTCATTGATTGCTTATAAATACTCGTGTAACTTATGGATTCGTTTAATAACAAAAGATATGGAAGTCATTGGGAGTCCTCCGCCACCAGCATATGCTCATGCTATGACTCATGCTGATCCAGAATCTAATGCTGTGTACGTTGTTGGTGGTTTCGATGGAGGAATTAAGAGTCATGTTACTCTAATCAGTATACCTGAGGATTTATGCAACCTTTGGACAGATAAAAGAACTTGCAGACAATACTTTGGATGTTCCTTTTGTTCTGTAACTACAATTAGCGGGAACAATGCTTCGTTCTGTTTCTCCAATGAAGTATCCGACAATAAGGATGACAGGTAAGTTGGATTGTCTGATTCGTACAAATTTGCAAGTATATTCAGAAAACGTTAAAGATACTTTTGTGTTAGATGCGATATTAATGTTACTCAAGCTCAACGATCAAACGGGATCTTTTGCAATTTGGAATGGATGGCAAGCAGAAAATGTCAGAACTTCAGAACTTGTACCGAGTGTTTAGCAGAATGGCCGTATTATAAGAATGAGGAACCGGTGTGTAAGTGGTGTACAAATTGTCCGAACGGAAAGTGCATACCGTACGAGAAAGATTGCGATGAGTTAAATAAGTGCAGTGTCCGGCAAATATCGGTGACAGATGTAAATCAGTGCGGTGAACGGCAGTGTCCAGCTAGCGACTGTGAAAAATGCAATAGTCTCGAAGGCTGTGCATGGACAAGGCAGGTCTTGAAGACTTGTAAGTATTTTATTTTTTTAAACTGTTCAAAATACAGTCTTGCTTGATAAGAAGTTCTTAAGAAATTTTCTTGAATGTTATTTAGCTGAATTAGGAGTCGCAGTAACAGGTGAACCTGTGTACGACTGGAATTGCGTACCTGACGACATTTTTGAAAGATCCAGTATTAAAATGGGGAGCACACAATGCGAAAAACGATGCGCTGATCATAAAGATTGTAGAAGTTGTTTGAAGGGAACAGGAGCTGAAGGTGGATGGCAGGAATGTAGATGGTCAACGCAACTTAACGAAGTAAGTACATAATAATATTGAGATTAAAAATAACTGAAGTGTATGCAAGAAGATGATAAGAGGTTATTTGGAAATCAAATTCCAGTGCATCTCTCCATCGTATCAACCTCTTTACTGTGCTGGTGGTGTATGCGGATTGGTACTGCGTAACTCTGACATGGATCATTGTCCTGAACCATGTTCAGTTTTCAAGCAATGTAGCACGTGTCTGAAGCATTCACATTGTGGATGGTGTTCTTTAGATGTGGCTAATGTAACTGGTCAAGGAATATGCACAGAGGGATCACTTGAAGCGCCGGCTGATCATCCGGCTGGCGGGACATGTGAAATGCTTTATTATCAACAGTTTCCCCAAACGGAGCCGCGTAAGATAACTATTGAAGACTATTAAGATTATTTAAGCATTTCTGTTACTCTGTTCAACAATGTTCGCGTATGAATGGTTCCAGCACTCGTCACCACGTTGTTCCCACATTACGGAGAACCACTTGAAAATCTAGACAATGTAACAATGTCAACTCCAAGTACAGTATCGAAACCAGTATTCTCTTGGCATTACGTACGGTGCCCTCCAGAGAACGAATGTACCAACGGTCACCATACATGCTCCCCAAAAAGCGAAAAATGTTTCGATCAGGAGGAAGGATTCGAATGCATGTGTGGCGATGGATATAAAACAGAAACGTAATTTTATTACATGTCTTAATATTAGCTGTATCATCTGTAGAATTCATTAATTTATTTATATTTTTTCAGTCCATCGTCATTTAATGAATTTGGAAGGTGAGATTTAGATATGGTAGAACTAGAAAAGAATTTTTTAAGTATATTTTTTTATCGTTTACATAATGTATTTTATTTCTAGGAAAATTTGTGTACCAATGTGTACCCAGGGATGCGTTCGAGGAACGTGTGTAGAACCAAATGTTTGTCGCTGTGATTTTGGTTATGTCGGTGCCAATTGTTCGATTCAGTGCCAGTGTAATGGCCATAGTAATTGTGCAGGTCCAGATAAATTAGACGTCTGTTTAGAGTGTCATAATAATACGATGGGGCCTCAATGCGACAAGTGTTTACCTTTATTTGTTGGAAATCCAGCGGACAATGGACAGTGTGTACCATGCCTTGAGTACTGTAATGGACATACTCGAATTTGCATTAACGAGAGTATGACCGTACCGGTAATTTCAGTTGATTTCAAATTTGTTTATAATAACGAATGAACAACTCGTTAGAATAATTTTTTATTTGTAGGATCCAAATTCCATTAACAAAATGTCCATAGAATTGTTGAAGAAACAATTAGTCGAAGGTCCTGTAGCCAAGGCAAAGTGCGTAAACTGCGGTAATAGTACAAAAGGCGACAAATGCGGCGAATGCATGATGGGTTATTTCAGAGGAACAGAAGATCTTCGTGATGTCTGTCGACCGTTAGTATTTTCCGAAGAGTTCTTGCGTGTAAATATGCTGGATGTATTAAAGGAATGTTTTTTCAGTTGTGAGTGCCATGGTCATGGATTTACGTGCGACCCTGTAACGGGAGAAAAGTGCAATTGCGGTAATAATACTGAAAGCGATTCATCTTGTACCAGCGGACCTATAAAGGGTACGAATACTGGCGCGCCACCGTGCTGGATGGTACAATGTAGTAAATGCAAAGAGAATTACGCTGGCACACCAACAATGGGTCATCAGTGTTACAAAACTGTAACCGTTGACAACAAAATGTGTTTCGACTCGAAACTAATAGGTGAATAATTTTAATATATGAGCTTCTGTTACTATTTACGCCTTCATTCTTCTCAATTAACGAAATTCTGTTACGTGAATGTTCATCGTTATATCATCATGTTTGCATCGTATTAGTTTTTCCTCATCATATTCGTGCATTATGCACTTTAACTGAGTGTTACTTTTCTCAAATTGCCACGTTCTATTATGTCTGGAGGATCCTACGGTTTGTACTCCTCCGATAATAAATTACTATGTGTCTTTCAATAATTTTCTTTATTGTTCATAATTGACTATCTGAATCAATTACAGATGAATGTAAAATGAAACCGAAACCATTGAATCCCGGCCAGACGGTATTCTACATGGTGCAACCTCGTTTCCTGAACGTCGACATCAGAGTTATGGTGGATGTAACTCAAGGAGCTTTAGATCTGTTTTTCAGTCCTCGTGACGACTCCTTCGTGGTTAGCCTAAATACATCAACGGGATACCAGGATGTAAGTTTACTTAAACATCGTTTTTCACCTATCAATCATGAAGTGATGTTCAGTTTTGTATGCATTATTTAAATTATTTTTAGGTCGAATTGGACAGCAGGTTGGTATGGCGCAAGGATTCGCGTAATATGTGGTTCGACAAACATACTCGTAGCACCGTGAGAGTCGTCGAATACCATCCGCACAGCGCATACTTGTATGGTTCTAATGGTACTACACCTGAGCCAAATTGGAACACCGGTCCGCAATATTACGTAATGGAGCGTTATGCAGAGAATATCGCCACTTTCGTAACGATCAACAAAAGAAATACAATTCTAGTTGTCAGGAATCTCACGAACCGATTGGTATTAACGTTGCCGCAGGATAAACACGAGCTACATCAGACAAAATTTCATGTTGCCCTGCGAGCAATCGATCCTATCCATCCAGAAGTAAGTGGTCGCGCTGCCTACGGAATGATTTTCTTCCGGCAAGATCAGCTGCACATCGATCTCTTTGTTTTCTTCTCTGTGTTTTTCTCCTGTTTCTTTTTGTTCCTGGCTGCTTGCGTGGTCGCGTGGAAAACAAAACAGGCAGCTGATGTTCGAAGGGCACGGAGGAGACATGTTGTCGAAATGTTGCATATGGCTAAAAGGCCATTCGCGTCGGCTACCATTATTTACGATCGTGATGGTAACGACTGTAGTCCAAGCTCACCACAGAGAAAAAGTAGACGCAACAAGTTGGTTAACTTTCATAACGACGTGAGGCCGGTGGCAGTTGAGCCAACCGACGACGGTGTCGCGGCCGTAGCCACAGTTTTTATCAGATTACCAGGTGGTCGACAGGCACCTGTTAAGCTTGCTCTTGGCAGCTCGTTGATACTATTGACCAGAGTTTATCCGGTGAATAGCAGGGTGTTCCTAAGACGTAGAAACAGTCATGCGTTGAACTGAGCCTCTTTCGGCTGGAACTTCTTTCCGCTGTCCTTAAGTCTGCTTAAGCTCTCGAGAACCGTAGACAGTCATTTTTATTCTTTATCCTTGCGGATCGTTTACGTTGATCTCATCTCTCGTTTTAACCATTCGGCCGTTCATGATTCGCTTGGTGCATGATCGTAACAAGAACCGAAAAGATAACCGTGTTTTCGCATTCGTACACCGTGTACAATTTGTCAGATTCGTGTAAATCGTATTTTTACTCGTGCATGTCGGTCTCTTTCTAACAATATTCATCATTTGTTCTGCCATCGTCGACATTGTTCAATATTCGCCAGTACGTGTACTTTTAGTTTAACGTTGTATTATAGTCGCAAGGAAACAATTGTAAGGGTATTTAAACTAGGTGATAATATATAATATATATATATATTGTCATACCATTCCATGACGAGACTGTATGTTTGTATATAAAAATCTGTAATTATGTATTCGTAATTTACACCGTTTTGTAGAAGCATTTTATGTGGGCCGGACATGGTTTTGTGTCTTGGAACGTTTTGTGGCCATTTTCGATGGAAAGTGGATGATTTTATTGAGTCGTCTTACGAAGGTTCGCGTAGGAAACAAGGAGAACGGAGAGAAAACAACCGCGTGTATTACTCTGATTATCGGATTCAGATATCAATTTTAGACGGAAATCAAAATTTTTCTAATGAAACGAAAATTCCCAATCACGGTCGAGTGAAAGTAGCAGGTAACTTGTTCATTGTCGCAAATTGTAAATATCAAAGTGTCAGCCGTGGAACGAATTATAAAGCTTGATGTGATAGTATTCCAGCGCAGATACCGTCAGAATTACTCTCAGTGTAATGAGAATGCAATAATAATTTTGTCAACTGGTGCAATTCGCTGGCAGTTGGCGAACAGGGTGATTTTAGACCACGACGCGTATACGTAAACATGTCTGTTGAGTAAGGGTATCGTAGATGCAGCCATGAGGAACGAATTGTATTCGCATAATTTAAACGAACAGTATTAGTATCGTTGATTAGAGAAAAGCTCGATGATGCGTAAGTCGGAATGGTTCCTATGCCAAAAACTGATGAGGAATAACGAGCGTTGTAGCATAATAATATTATTATTATATTATTTATGGCGAAAGGAAAACCGATAGAAACTTGTAAAGGACTTCAAATTAGAGGGAAATTGTAAATACGCGAGGTGCATATTTACAAACGTTTATCGACACCGTATATATATCCTGATTGTAAAATATTATTTACCATCATCGATATTGGCTTGAACCTAATCGAAACAGAAAGAGAAACGCATCTTTGGTCGAAGGTGTGAAATCAAGGTCACGTATTAATCAAAAGTATTGCGATAATAGGATGTTGATGTAATGACATTAATATGTACTAGTAAGAGGAATAATAAGCAAATTAATCGAGACAGTGGACAGTGTAGTGACATAGTTGTAAATACCAAGGAGTGTTTTTTGCTAAACTGTTATGCTGTACCAAAACAGGTTTAATATATTCTGTACAGAGTGTTTTCTGGAGTAATTGTTACACACTTTGAATATTTTTCACTGTATTTTTATGAAATTCTTCATATAGTTTAATCAGGTACCTTTTTCTTTCTATGTGAACTATTCTTTCTTCGTATAATCTGTAATTACTGTGTAAGATACCATTTAAGCAAAATTTTAATCTATCTGAGTTTCTTAAATTCAACAAATACAGTGCAAAATGCTCAAATCGTTTTTGGAAGCATTCTACGTATGCCGTCTATGTATTGGAAGAATACATTGTGTAATTGTTGGGTGTGCATATGACAATGCAGCACGTCTTGTCCGTTGAATCTCAGTTTTGTTTTGTTCTCATGAGTCTCGTCATCACGCATCTCATCGAACGATTAATTTTAATACTTCTTAGAATCGTCGAATCGCCTCTCTTTATCTCTTTATCTCTCTCTAACATAGTTGTCAGTCACATTCATCGCGGTTCATGGTTACATGTTCGTACACCTTCACGCGACCAACTATCCTAACTAACTAATCCGCTAGGTTTATACGACAGTCTGTAATCATATGTACTAAGAATACAAGAAACTAACGTGTATGTACATTTCTATAGGTTACGTAAATAGAGATATATATATATATATATATTATATATATACATACTATGTATACACGATAAATGTATAATTTTTCGGTTGTACAGATCTGAGCGTTATCTTCGAAATGTTCTATTTTATATATAATTATTACATTGCATTCAATGTAAGCGATATCTTCCAATGCCGGCATTGCATCGCGTTGAGAAATGTTTGTAACACTTCTGAGACACACCGTCGTTTGTAAAGTGTAAAAGATAAAAGGTTGTGATGTCCGTTGGTGCCCCCAGCATCCCGGCTAGGGTTCGCCAGCTTGATGGATTTATTTCTATCGTGGGGAAAGACTACGAAGTTGTGTGCTAACGAAGATTAATGAATTGTATTGAGGAAGCTTTAATAAACGTGTGTAAAATTGGGTTTCACTCGAGATACTTTATAAATCATCCACAGCTTCTGCTTAACATGAATTTACATAAACGTCAGAATGTCCTTGACATTTCGACTTATGAAATAATCGTTTCTCTCCGAATTCATTATTTACCATATAAATAACCTGTTATGTTATAAAAAGTTACCTTCTGGAAAAATGTAAAGCATGTATGAGATAATATGAAACAATACGGGGGCTCGTGTCCTATCACCATAGTAACTATACAACACAACAAATAAATGTGTTCTACCTCAAGGTTCTGAACACGCGATCGAATTTGTACACACATAGATATATAGAACGTTCACGTTGCATGATGTTAGATTCAGTTAGATTTATAATTTCACATGCTACTACGAGGATACTAGCGAATATTGTTAGGTGTTATTTAAGGTAATACCGTAAAATGAGATTCAAAATATCTGCACAAAATCGAAATGGTCATAAGCGGTTGGTGACCTGTGTCGCATGGAGCTCTGCCGAAGAAATTTACTCTTGCGGGTATGTTTCAATATTTATGAAAATTTGTGTGTGCAAGGTGATTGAATTTTTTCTTCTTTTAGAGAAGATCATTTGCTAATATCATGGCACTTGGAAGGCGGAATAGCGCATTCCAGTGTCGTCACAGAATTTCCCGATGACTTTTATCCGACGGACATGCAATGGCATCCGCGGTCGAACTATGCGACGTTGATTACCAAGAAACAATCGCTGGATGTTCTACTAATCACTACGGCCGATGGTATTTGTTTTTATTCTTTAGATGCTCTTAATAGTACACGTAATTACACACATTCTTTATAGCCTAAAGATATTTATTGAACTTTGTACAATATTACAAGGAATTTAAAAATATTATATTATTATAGGAAAGTATCATTTAGTAAATAAAAATGGGCGCATAGAAAAAAGCATTGATGCTCATAAAGGGGCAACTACAGTAGGCAAATGGAGTACAGATGGTTCTGCCCTTTTAACTGGTAAGCAAATCACTTTGAATAATTATTGTATTATAGTTAACTAATTCTTCACTACTGTTTCAGCTGGAGAGGATGGTTTAATAAAGGTCTGGTCCCGCAGTGGTATGCTTCGTTCAGTCATAGTCAGAGGTACATTTCCTATTTTGTCTGCTGCCTGGAGTCCAGATGGTACGACAGCCTTATATTCTCAGGGAGCTCATTTAACATTTCAGTCCCTTAACTCCAACTCTAAACCTCGAAAGGTGGAATGATTTACTGTATGTATGTGGTATTTACATTAATATGGGAGAGAATAATGTTCATAACAAAATTTCAGTTACTGGCACACGAGGGTCTCATTTTGGCATTATCCTGGAGTCATACTAATGGACTCATAATCTCTGGTGGGGAAGATTGTAGATACAAGGTATTTGTAGATAATAACAAAATTATGTTAATGATAGCTAAAACTTTATTTTAACTGATTTATAATAAAATCACGCATTCTTATTTCCAAAGGTATGGGACTCCAGTGGTACTCAACTGTTTTCCAGCAACACAGGAGATCATCCTATCACATCAGTGAGTTGGAGTTATTCAGGGAATCACTTTGCTGTCGGATCTTTTAATACAGTCAAACTTTGTGATAAAACAGGGGTTCGTTTGTTTGTACAGTATATTTCATTACTAAATCGCGGATTTTTCTAACAATACATATTTTTTAGTGGTCTTATTCATTGGAAAAAATTAATTCGGGAAGTATATACAGTATTGCTTGGTCTAGCGATAGTACTCAAGTTGCTATGGCTTGCAGTAATGGAACAGTGTTAACAGGACATATAATAGACAGGTATAAAGAAGACTATAATAATGATATACTATTGCAAATGATTTTACATTAATATATTTTAAATAAATCGAAAATAGAAGATTAGAATGGAACAGCTATGAAGCTACATTAGTGAAGAGGAAGGTAATCGAAATCAGACATATCGGCAACGAGATCCGAGAAACATTGGAGATATCGGATCGCGTGGTCCAAATAGAATTCGGTTTTGACCATTTAGTTGTTATCACGCCCGCTCAGTGCCATGTTTATTCGGTAGTAAATTGGAATACACCAGCCATATTTGATTTGAAGAATACCAGTGTGTCAGCAGTACTTCTTGCAGAAAAGTACACAATAATTATTTTATATTTACGTAAACAATGAAGGAAGTATCATCTGCGATATATAAATATTTTTATTTTTTAGACACTTTCTATTAATTGAATGGAACAGCGTATCATTGTACAGTTATCAAGGCCGTTTGTTAGGAACTCCAAAATGGAAAGGAATGACACAAGAACGACTTCATCCCCCCTGTGTATCATTGTGCTCAGATACTTTAGTCGTGAAATCACAGACTAACGAAAAATGTATGGAAACACGTATTGTTAAATTCAGAAAAAAATTACGTCACGTGTAACTACTTAACAAAATTGTTCTTCAGTGCTTCACGTTTTGGAAGTGGCTTATAATAAACCAATAACCGAAAGTCAACCTTATATACATCTTCAGAATATCACAAGGGTAGCACTGAACCACGTAGGAGGACCAAATGATCGACAAGTCGCGTTAATTGATGTAAATAAAGACTTGTTTTTGGTTTCTGTTAGAACTACTGGCTTTGGTAGAGTGTGTAAAATAGGTATGCATCCGAAATAGTCGTATAAGTATACAATTATAATATAATATATTTATACATTGCGATCTCTTCAGCCGCTATGGCGCAAGATATTGAGTGGGCGACAGATGCGAATGTCCTAGCGGCAATGCTGGATGCAACGTTGTCGGTATGGCTGTGTCCTAATTGTGTGCATTATAGTGATCGAAAAATAATAAGAAAAACAAGAATTGACAAGGAGAGCAGGTTTGGATTTATTTTTATTTTACTTTACAAAAGTAATTCTTTATCTAATATACTCTTACCAATACTTCCAGTGAATTTGGAAAACAACCAAGCATTGCGAGTGTATATAATGGTATGGTAATGGTACGGCGTGGTGACGGAGCATTAGTTGCATCTTCCTTTTATACATTCTTTATTAGTCTTCATCAGCATATATTAAACAGAAGGTGGAAAGAAGCATTGTCCCTCTGTCGAATAGCTCAGGTAATGAAAAATTTTCCATTTACTAGTTTGAAATATTTCAAAAAAAAAAGAATGTTTATGTAGAATGAAATATTGTGGACTTGCATGGCTGTTATGGCAACTGACAATAAGGAATTGAGTGCTGCAGAAGAAGCATATGCAGCAATTTCGAGATTTGACAAAGTCGACTATATTCAGTATATTAAGGTAATGATAATATATGTATGTAATGGAGAAAAACATTTTGTCTTTCATCATATCATATTAATTTCTGAAAAATGAAAAGGGTTTGTCAAATAAAACTGAAAGACTGGCAGAAATGGCGCTACTGTCAGGTGACTTATTAACCGCAGAAGGCATACTTTTGCAAAATGGATTGATTGAAGAAGCCATTCGGATTAATATTCAAATGTACAATTGGAATAGGTACTTTTTCGTTATCCAAAATGTTATTTAAAAGCGTATCTGTTCTTAACATTTGTATTTATTTCTTAGAGCATTAGAACTGGCTATTAGGCACAAAAAACAGCAAGATGAAGTTCTAAACGCAAGGAAGAAATACCTTCAAGTAATCAATAAGGACGAAACAAATCAAACCTTTCTTGCATACATTGCAAACGTGGCCAAACTACAAGTAAATCAATCATTCTTTTTGACTGCACAATTTTTATCAGTTGCACATAATTTTGTCTGCTTCTTAAAAACAGTGAGAAACTTTTACTAGGACGGCAATGAAAAAGATAAAAATCACATTTACCAAGAAGTCGCTGAAAAATCTCCTAATCTAGAGGAAGTTCGATTAGTGGAACTAGAAATGCCAAAACATGAAACGTCGGACCAAGAAATAATGCATACCTGAAAAACTGGCTTCGGTCACGTTTATACAAACAGTTTATTAAAATATGTAAAACTAAAATATAATGAACCATCATCACCTGATTGAAACGGATCTAATAATTATCACATTGGAACGCGGTATAAATTGTTGAAGATGTTAAGGGGATAAAAAGTTGTACAACATATGTTAATGAAAATATATTTAGATGACGTTACAAAATTAAAAACTTCAAAAATATCGAGATCATAACGACGATTAGTGTGGTAAATATAAATAGTAGCACAAGCTTCCGCGTGTACCATGATGTCTCTTTTGCCACCGGTCGGTAGCGTGTTACCAAAGCAGACTGAAATCGATAAAAAAAATGTGTTATAAAACGGAAATCCCAATGATACTTTATTGTTAATTAGAAAATATACTGTATCTTACCCATCCACCGTTGGCTTGTATCCACACAGCAAGATCCTCTTCCAGAACATCAGTAATACCTGAAACCGAACAGAGAATTCTTTACTAATAATAAAAAAAGTTATATTCCATTGTTCCTTATGATGCCGAAATCAATACTATATAGGTACAAATATTATAATATTGAAATTCTATAACAATATATGTTCTTAGCCAGATCGTTTCGCCAGTACAGAGCTGGAGAAACAGGGCCCCAGGGAACGACATTATAACTTTAAACGAATTAATTACCTCTCTGTATGGCTGGTAGAAATTCAGGTTTGCCCTGGCGCACGCAATCCACAGCAATGCCACCGGCGATGGCGTAAAGGGCTATCACTTTGCTCCAAGTCATCTCACCGTTTCGGATCATTTCTCTGGAGACGTCGACTATGGCCCCGCTGGTGGATTTTTCCGAGGTGAAACTACTGCAGCCGATTTGTCGAGCGATTCGATTGAACAGGTTCGGATGCATTTTCTCCAGCTCGGCCCCGACGGATATCAATTCCGGGTAAACCTCCCCGACAACAGCACCGCCAGGAAGCAACATGGCGCTCCTCATCCTCTTCAGGCCGAGCTTCCGATGGAAGATCCCGGATCGTTTTAGTCGATTTCGAATGTACTGAGCGCATAACGATGAACCCTGTATAAAATATAAATAACATTGGTCAGATTCCTTCCTCTTTCCGCAATTAACATTGAAACTACCCGTAAATAAACCCCCTATATCGTCACGGACCCAGTTCCTGATCAATTTAGTATACAAATATAGATACCATATAACATGTTTGTTATAATAAAATTTTTTTATTATATTTGCTTCGATCGGTGGATAAACGTGAAAAACTTTTAAAAATTTAGAAATTGACTAATTTCTTCACTTTCGTATCGTAATAAAAGGTGCATAAGATCTGAGAAAATGTATTATCATAACATTTTAATCGTCGTTGGAAGAGTGTATTGACAAGTCATCTTGACTTGCTTGGTAGTTCTAGTGTTAAAATATAGAACTTTGACTATAGACCCTTATTCGAAGTTTTCATTTAATTGTACTAATTGGTTAAATTAATTTCGACCACAAAACGCTAAATTGTTGTGTATTGTGTTTTAATTGTGTGACTAACGTTTAAGAAATGTATGTTTCAGATGGTGATTGCGCTGCGGTTATTCACCTGCGACACGGTAAGCTCAACGGAAGCGGACACGGTCCTCCAACGTATCGTGTGGGAGATCTTTCTGGAGACAACATCGCTAACATTGCTGAATCGTCTTCGCGCCGAATCGACCACGTGGAAAGGCGAAACCTCTGGATTATTAGCGGCCGTGAAACCGGCCAAATTCGAGTGCAACGAAATCGCAAGGCTATTCCTTCGATATGGTTGCGTCCCACTTCCGGATGTGTCTTCCAAGCCGCGCAGCGAACCGACGAGCCCAGACATTGAAGGATCCTCCGTGATATGTTCCTGCCATTCAGACTTCTCAGGCTTGAAGGATATAAAAGAATTTTATTTTTTATGTTTAGAAGTATTTCGAAGACTTCGAACGCGTGGTCTACAACAGGGGTGGGCAACTTCGATAATAAGAGCCATACATTTTGCATGTTCAAGAGCCACAGAAAATATTATTTAAAAATTGTATTCATATTTTCAGCTATAGATTATTAATATAAAAGTTTAGGGAAAATGGCAATAAAACCCAATATTGTCTTGGGAGCTGCACGATTAAATCGGAATATCGTTGGTCCATTTGCATTGGTGTTAAAGAGTTATTTTAATTTAATTAGCATATTAAAAAATTATATTAAGAAATAGTAATACTTTCAAAACGATATAAATTGTATTTCCACTCCACTTCGAAAACTTTTCAAATGACTCACGTATATTCATTCAAACTGATCATTACCAGATCAGGAGGACTATCATCTTGAAGCCACATTCGTGAGCTTTAGAAATCGCATATACATAATTCGATAACAGGTTCTTCACACTGTACGTGACATTATTTCCGATTACAGTTTCATTGGTTCAATTCTACCGGCGCTTAGGATTTCCTAATAACAATGAAATTCTTCAGGAATCTCTCCTTGAAAGTCAGGGGATACCTCCAGCGGCGGCATTGGCGACCATCTGAAGTCCCTTTATGGTAATGACGGTTACGGAGGCGAGAGAGCGGCCGATAGAATCTTTTTGTCCTTACTACCACACAACCGGCCGAGGTGCGTTCACACCAGGTTGTGTACCGTGAGTAATTATTATTCCACTCGCGGGTACAGGCTCTGTTGTTATCTCGCCTGCCTTATTTAGTCCTGTTATTTGACATGCGCCGCGCGGTGCTTTCTGGGCCGTCTGAAAATACGACGCTTCCCCATTGTGTGCGTAACGCTTGCTTCCCATTCCATCATTTGCTTCCTTAAACGAGCTGTGTTAACCACGTAGCGTGTGTGTGTGTGTGTGTGTGTGTGTGTGTGTGTGTGTGTGTCACTTTCGAAATTTAAACCGAAACCTCCCCGTCCACTGCGAAATCACGAACTGGTAAATGTTAACGAACCTATTAACGCGCGACGAACTCTACTGGGATCATCATGGTATCAAATTAAGGTTATGAAATTCCGTGTACATTTTTTATCTATTTTTCTTAGTAATACTTATTACATAAATATTGGTAACTTTCTGTTAGATGAAAAGGAAGGATCGTATTTAGATATATAATATATGAAATTAAACGACTTCTATAAAAATTTGGTACATTCGTTAAATTCAATTTCTACGTAATTTATTTCTATTCAAAGTCTGAGTTTCTGCTTCCGGGCGTAAATTGTGTTCGTTATTTGAGTAAAATTTTGTGCGAAATATACAGAACATATGTGTTTAATATCTGCGATAATAAGGGAAATTTGAAATTTCTGTTTTTTATTTGTTTTTACATTCGATATTGCAGGGAAAAATTGTTAATTTATCAGGAAGATTGTCGGCGACAGAACACAATTAATTATCTGTACCGGTTGTCTGAGGCTGCCTCTTCGGAACGTTCTTCGGTTATCAATTATCATTTACGACAAAAGATTGATTATCATTTGACAATCTACGTAACTGGTTCTTTTGTCTCGACATTTTACGTTATTCGTGAAGTTTGAACAATTCCAAATTAGACAATTAATTAAAAGCTAATAAAATATAATAGAGACAATTTGAGAAAAACCAAAATTTTGTTTCACCTTGACCAAAGTATTTTCAACAGTTACAAATCCATGAAAATGTACAACACAATTACAAATAAACATGCTGTATTTCTTCACATACTTTTTCACCCTACGAGTTTGCTTCGGGGAACAACTGGTTTGCATAATATCGTAATTACAGTACAGACATATTTATTCATAAATGACACTATTCTTTACTACCGTTAGTAATAAAAAAAAGAAGGAAGTAGAGCAGAAGCAAGTTTACTCCGGTGTAGGTTTTATCATTACAATTAACTCACAATTGGCTCGAAGTATTTGTGCAATAGTACATTATAGTCTCTTTAAAATCATAATGACGTGATCACAGAGATATTAAAAGTAATGTGCATATTATAAGTAATAAAGACATCATACATTTAATACACATATGGAAACTTTTCAATATACTGGGTGTACCAATAATTGATTCAGTATTCATTTTACAAGTTCAGTAGTTACTTCGTGGGAAAGTGTAAATACTCATACTGAATTAATGACGTTTGCCATTGTTATCAGAAAAACGGAAGGACGCCTCCAGGAAGCTAGTGACTCACTAACGGATAACGTCCAAGATTTTAAGAACTGTATACATTAATCTCGTGAAATTCTGCTAAATGATTCCTTTCCTCAATCTTTTAGATTCCTCGTCACGTGATATGGAAATGTGTCGCTTGATCAATATTAAATTCAATCAGCAAAAGCACCATAATAAAAGTATACAAAGATGTTCTATATACAGGGTGTTCGCGATAGTTTGTACCATCGTTCTTTTCGTAAACGGTAAACGTTAGAAAAAAACCGAAGAGTAGACAGTTGTAGTATATTTTACTATTAATATGATAGCGTATCTAAAGTTTTTGTATTTTTAATATTTTTCCAGAAACAAAGGTGACCTTAATTTTTCTTCTGATGTTTACCGTTTACTAAAAAAAACGATGGTACAAATTATCGCGAACACCCTGTATATGTGTGTGTGTACCGGTGATTATAAAAGTGGTCTAAGTCAAAAATCTAAAAAAATTGAACGTATCACTTGTTGTTACATCGATTTCCATTGCAGTAATATGAAAAAATATTTAATTAACCTAGGCCACTTTCATAATCACGGGCACATACATATTCGAGGAGTGAGGGAGTCCAAAAAGCGGCAAAAACGTTCGAAAAAATGTCAAGCATCAAAAACGGAGAATCGGAATTAATTTACCAATGGCAAGGTCGCCGTCTCCTGGACCTCCAGTCGAAAGTCCGGTTTCATCGTAATTAACGAGCGTCCGGCTCATTAGTCACTGTCGTCTAACTTGTTTCACACACACATTATATGCGTAATATGTTACTGAATTATCGCTTATCAACCTGGTGTGCCTGACCGGTCGATTATCGTTCGAGTGTGCGCAGGCGAATCGTTTGTTTTATCAATTTCCAAGGCTCTATTTCCGCGGCCGGAATCGTGCCGATAAACGAGACCGTAAACGTCGTACTTTGTATTTTTTGCATTTCTGCATTTTTGCTCGTGCTACCGACCGATGCATACAGCTACTTTTCGCGATACGTGCGGCATCATATGAATCGGAGAACAAAACATGTATAGAATGACAGACAGAAGCATTCCACAGTTAGGGATGTTAGATTCTGATTCGATTCTTCAGAAGATCGATTCCCTTGGGTAACACGCCATTGCCATAAATAACAGAAACACTAACGGCTAACAGTTCACTCGTTATTCTGTTACGATAAAATAAATATTACGGAATCAGTAGATATACAAATCGCTTCCTATCAGTTTTAACACGTTACCTTCATTAACTGTTTGTAGAATAATATTTTATTCTTGCTTTAATTATCAGACCTCGCCCCATAGTTTTAACCGTTCGTGAATGTGTTTTACATGGGCAGTGACGTGGTACCCTAGGAAATCGATCTTCTGAAGAATCGAATCGGAATCGAACATCCCCAATTCGAGTATTGTAAGCGTGTGGAAATGAAAAAGTTTTGTCTACTAGACCGCAGATTTTGTGCAGTTACGGTACGTGAAATTGTATGAAATACAATACTAGACAAGGTTTCTGTCAAATAAAATTGTCGTCTTATTCTTAACTCAATGTAAGATTCTTAAAACTTTGACGACCACTATCGTATGGGCGTGATTTTGCTCCGTCAGTGGTTATCGGTCGGTATTACCTTGTCGTAAGTTCGCTGTGCCAGCAGGGTTCTATTACAAAATTTAACAAATGCTGGTTTTAATATTTCTCTCAATAAGTACATATATTGTTATTACAGAAGACGGTAAACAGGAGTACTTGCATAAGACCTCAACGATCGTTAAACGGAATTACAATTAAACAATCCCTGTCCATTAGAAACGAAAGAAATTACTGTCTTCATTCATACGTTTCTAAATGATTTCACGAAAGTTATGGAAGGAGGTGTCGGTAAGGTTAGAATTATAGTATGGTTTCAGAGATTTTGGTCAGCAGATTTTAGTATAGATGTCGTATTACATTGTGGGTAGCCAAAAGCGATGGATGCAGATGATTTGAAGTGGTAATTGCCATAATACATGGCACCATTACTAGTGTATTCGTGATGAAATTTAATGTTTTCTAATCATAATATACTATGTGTCTTAAATCTATTCGAATCATAATTTGTATGCTTTTGTATTATTGTTTGTCAGTGTACATACTTGTACATACTTTGCACACCGCTGAATAAGATCTGGATTATGTGTCACTTGTCTATTGTTGTGATACTCTTTCTTGACAGCCGGTTCCTAACCTATATCGATGGCTCCGCTTATTTTATTTGCATCGTTACCTTCGACCGGTACCTTGAATGATGAAGTCATTTAAGCAGATAATCCTCTAATTACTTCACGCCGTATGTCTATTGTGCGTTGAGTATTGTTTCATGTAATTGTACCGAGTGGTGAGTAACGTTTAACCTGTCGGGGACAGGTCACCTCATTATACCTATATACGTGCACTTTGTTTTCATCATAAACCGTGGATATTCTTATGTAACCGAGTAAAAAATGCGTTAGACACGACTGCAAAAACGCTACAGCCACATTTGTTCGCGATTCAAACACAGAACAAGAAAAAGCGTGCGCGTTTGCAATTAGCCGCTACCGTTAATTGGCTGATACGATCCGAAATTGGTGAACGCTGAATTCTAATCAGTCGAAGCGTTACGACGTTTTTACTGTTACTTGTAAGAAATGATATTTTTAAATTGTTTGTTCTATATGTAGAAATAGATTAATTCCTGGATAATTAGTGCTGATGCTCGTTAAAAGCTATTCGTCTTCGAACT